TTCACCGACATCTTTTTGTGGGCGTGTCACATTAATACAGACAAGTAGATTTTGAGCTGAAACCTGTGGTTGACGTTGCCTGTTGGTATTTCAAATTGGGTGTTTGATTTAGACTTGCATTGTGTAAGTGGACATGTGTTCATCCATGGAAAACGGAGGCTCTTACTGCCAACGAATATCGGAGTGATAGAAAAAATATGTTGCAACAAAAAACAGTGGAGTACAATCCAATATTTTGGGAGGATTGGGACGCATGATATCAGGAACTGGCAACTCATATATCCCCCCTACCTGCCCCAATTAGAAACTGGCCCACAGCTCAAGTACTGCGAACCGTACTTGAACCCTTTTTTATAATCTTGCTTATATTCAACGCTTGATAGTGTTACAACCGCGTCTAGTTTCTGAACAAATGGCTGTTGTGATGGACTTGTCTTACATAAGGGGGACACATCCAGGACCAATTTCACTGTGCTAGACTGCACTGTGAGTGTGCTATTAGGTGAGGATTTAAAAGACATACTGGGAAAACAGTATGGGTGTATTATATTAACACTGTTAACTAGATTTTTCTGAAACCATGCACCAATTAAGTTCTTACACGTAATGTTGGTTTGCTGTTCGGGAGTTTTGTGCCACATTTGAATGGGAATTTTTATGCAAGAGAGGCCTCTATAAAGGAAAATGTCACCGTATATTTTTATTTGTATGTATGTATGAATGAGCAGTGGATCTTTTCAAAATGTATTTGTATGTATATGTCTATAAAGAAAATATTAAGATACTCTTCTGTACATTGGTAGAAAGTACCAACCCTAAAAACACAGACAAATGCACAATTTGTTGTCCTTATAAAAAAATTTGCACTTTTGACATAGATCTGGTTCGGAAGTGTGCGGTACAGTGTGGTCCCCCAGTAGCACTAATGAAAGATAATAGTCCCTCCATCATTTAAGTTGCCCATCCCTGGTCTGAGGCATCATGTGATAAATGCGATTAATGACTTTTGAGAAAAAGTCATTAATCGCATTAATCACATGATGCAAGGAAAGGTGTTATGACCCTGGAATTCATTATATTCTCAATATATAACAAAAATAAAATCCCCCAAAAACTTATCAGTGGGTTACCTGCATCGGGTGAGTGTATGTTTTCAACCTCGACCCACCAATGAAAATGGGCTTCAGGAGGGTGGTGGCACCATGCTCCTCAATACAACAATCACGAGTAAAACAAATTTAGGGGAAAACCTTAATAGTTGACCAATATTGCAGGACATGTCATTGCAAGATGTGGTGTGTGTTGGTGGCCCCTGAGAGGGCAGGGTAGAGACCTCGGTATCAAAACATTTCCTAAGCCAGCTGGAGGTGTGACACAAACAATACGCTTCCGACCCTTCTCCTGAGACCTGTTGTAACAACACCATCCTCCGGCCCTTTAGATGTCAACACACGCACACATAATTCTCCCACTTGTAAACACACACACACACACACACACACAAAAATCATACATGTCCTCTGACAGTCACCCATTCCTCCTGCTCTTTACTACTATCTTCAGGTGAGATGGAGAACATGAAAAATGAATCGCTGTCTCGTAGATGTGAAAGGTTTGCATAAGAAGACGAAAGCTATCGATGTGGAAAATCAGTTTCAGCATGTCACAGACATATGACTTTTACTCGATGTAGCAGCACACATTAGCCCATCCTGTCGAGTAAAACAGGGATGGCGTTACGACATGCAGGAATGAGGGACAAATTGAAGGGGGAAAATAATTATGGGGAAGGAAGAGAAATAAATGGGAATGCAAGAGTTAAGGGGGCCCTAGGCCACTTGCAAGTGACACGTTCCGAAAGCGAACCAGGTGGAATGCGGATCCCAAAAATGCACACTCGGATTAACTGTGTAACCCAAAAAATATTTATTTATAAAAAAAAAAAACGAAGTACCGACAAAGTATAAACAGAAATCGCTGGCAACAACAAGCCCTGAAAACCAGATATGAACAGAAAGTGCTCGTAAACTGCAAGGTGAATTTGACAACCAAAAAGTACTTAAACACCGTTTCCAAACTCCAGCCCGTTCCACTGGGCTTCTGGCCAACAAATTTGTAGCTGTAAGTGATTTGTCTGTCCTGGTCTATTGTTGTTAGGGTGGTTGTGTTTGTGACCAACAGGTGGCACTGTCGGGCTCCTCCTGCAGTGGCACACCTGTTGGTCATTGTGTCATTAGTTATAGTGTTTGGTGAAAAGGACTCCGTGCCCGACCAGTCGGTGTCGGATCATTGCGTGTGTCTCTGTGCACGTGCCATGTTTTGTTTTTGTCATAGGTTCTTTTGTTTGTTTGTGAGTTTGTTACTTTGTTTTCTTGTGGTTTTCAGGACTTTGAGTTTTTGAGTTAGCTTCTCCAGTGTACTCCTGTTTGCATTTTTGTTAAATACATCTTGGTCACTGGACCCTGCTCCTTCCTGCCTCCCTGCTTTTTGGGGTCCTCTACACTACCATCACGCAAAATTTGACAATTGTCTTGTAATTGAGTACTGCTATTGCTTGTCTTGTCTGTTTTTGTAATGTCTTACTCATTATGTTCTTATTTGTGTCATCGTGGTTTTTAAGTTTCATGTGTCTCATTGTGCTATTTTACAAACCTGCCTTGGGACTACGGCTGAAAACTAGCATTTGTGCTTAGTCCGGCGCATTTCCATGTTATTTTTGTGTTGATTTCTGTGCACTGTCCCAATGAAATAAATGAAAAAATGAAAAATAATACAAACGAAATGGCAAAAATCCAAAAACAAGAACCTTAAAGCAGTCCAAAATGACTTGAGAACCAAAATACAAGAATGTAGCGAAACAAGAGCAACTATGAACGTGAGCAGGAGGTCTAGAAAATATCACTTGAGCAAAAACAGCGAGCAAGGTCAATAATCCGACAAGAGACTAGGCAGCTCGGCAGTCCGTAAATACATGGCAGGCTTGATTGGTAACAGGTGCACTTAATGAGGAGGCACGCCCTCTTCTCCAGGTGGTGCCGAAAGCAAAAACCACAGAGCAGAACCATGACAACATGATTATCTGAAGGCTGAATCGTTAGCTGGAACTTAGATGATAGACCAAACTTAACTGCTGACTGTCATTATTTTTTCAAGCGCAACCTCTAGGGCATTCCCAAGTCTATAAAAGTCACCACATCTTCAGCGGGCTTCGGCTAGTTAACTCAGTGCTCCTGAGATAGGGAGTTCATGTCCAAACAGGCACTACAATGATCTAGGTGCAAGGCCATGCGCTAATGCTCTCTCCGGAGTATCATGATGATAAATATAGCTGAGTATGTGATAGCTTTCATATTAGTCACTGAGAGCACTGGCAGATTTCTCTGCGTATCATTTTATCTGAAACAAACAAGCTGGAAACACTAATACATTATAGATTTTATCACCAGCATTCACAAAGGAAATGTCTGCTCGGGGACCAAAATGTGAAACGAATGCTTTGCTTTCTGCCCCGTCTGTATGGAAATAATTCATTTGTGTTTTGAAGACTCTTGGAGACAATATACTGACAGTCTAATCTGTGAGTCATCCTGTAATGCTCTGTAATATTACTACTTAGGATCATGTCTCTTCCCTTTTGGCTAGAATATAAATGGCCCCTTCAGCCACTCTGGTTTTGGTGTCAAGAACTTAAGTTGACATCCCTTTCTAAAGGGAAACTAGTAAAGAACATCCTTTTTCTGAAATGTCAAGTAGAGGAGAATTTTCAAAATGAGCAAAACAGTCATAAAAATAATGTGATCAGAAAAGAATCAAATTAAATTCAAACCCTGGAAATGGGTCATTTGGGAATTATTTTTTCCCCTTAATTCCCCAAAAATGTTGTATGCCTGAGCAAACTGTAGGATTTGTGAAGGACCAAATACGTTATCATTGACTTATTTTAAGTCGGACTTCTATGAATACTTAGAACATGCTTATTCATCCTTTACAAAGTATTACTGTTTGGAACCGTTATTATCATCAAAATATTTTAATGCATACTGGTCTATTCATCTACTGCCATTTGCAAACTGTTTTTAGTTCAACATGTGTTTGTTTTATAACCAGTGAGACAAGTTTCTGAAAATATCCTATCAAGACTAAGCAGCATTATTGAAGCCCGACATCTTTGAATTTGCGTCATATTGTAAGAGTCATTTCACGGTAATATCTAAATCTTTTTTTTTTCAATTTTGATATCTAGTGTTGTTAATTTATATGAATATCATGGTATGTTGTTTTGGCACGGTGTCGACTGGTTAGCAGGTCCACCTCACAGTGCAGAGGTTCTGGGTTTGAATCCGGCCCTGGCCTTCTTGTGTGGAGTTTGCATGTTCTCCCTGTGCCTGTGTGGGTTTTCTCCAGGTACTCCGGTTTCCTCCCACATTCCAAAAACATGCATCAACGCTCTTAATTGTCCCAAAGTATGAATGTGAGTGCAAATGGTTGTTTGTTTATGCGTGCTCTGCAATGACCTGGCAGGGGTTACCCTTCCTACTGCCCGAAGACAGCTGGGATAGGATCCAGCACACCCGCGACCCTTGCAAGCATAAGTGGATCAGACAAATGGATGGATCCTTTGAAACTCCTAATTCCTTAAAAACTCAAAAAAAGAAATGAAATTTGGGTCAAAATTGTGCACGTGGAAGGTTAAACTGCAGGGATTTTTTGGGAGACTTGATGCTCTTTATGAACGGAAAACATGGTCACTACTGTCGAGCAGCACGCCCAGTGCAACGCCTGTGCATGGCTTGCAGAATCCATTTCGCACATGTTTAAAGATTGGATCTGTGTGCTTACATGAAATGTAAATGTAAAACAAAACAAAAAACACATGAAGATTTTTTTTTTTTTTCGCTCAGAGGACTGATCAACGTTCAACTTAAAATTGAAAAAAAAGATTTGGGTGAATGACGCATATTGATTAAATTGGAGTTGGGGTGGTGTCATGTTTTTCTTACCTTTCCGAGGATCCTTGGGAAAGGGGCTCTCTGGTTCTCGGTGACAGTCATTGGAGGAACCAGCAGGGATCTCTTCAATCTATGTGGCAGACCGATGATCTAAAACAGAAAAAACACAGCACATTAACCACGGCTACACCATAAACACTTTCCTCCAAACAAGAAGAAGGGATATCTACTTCCACCGAGCAGTCAATTATAGATTTGACGATTGCCACTGGTTAGAGGGGTTTCTCTTTTCACTTTATTGAGGATGGAGAAAATAACATGGAGTTTGATAAGGACGGAGAAAAGGTAATCATGCAACCATTGAGCTTGCAGCATCAGTTGGTGAACAGATAAAATTGGAGATTGTCGAGGGAAATTAGCTAAAGTTTATATCTAACTGTCTGTTCGTTCCGCCCCGTACAGAAAATACAAAGGGAAAAAAATGTGTTGTTGGAAGCAGAAGCAAAGATTTGAGGTCATTTAGACAAAACAAAAAAGTAGCATTTGTTCTGAGATAAATGTTGGCTGGATATTTGAAAATGGTACAATAATGTACATCAAATGACAACCACACGGCTTTGGTGTTTGCTGCCAATATTCTATCAGCACAACAATAACCGGGTGATTATTATTATGACCATAATGAGGAAACTGACCAAAAGAAAGTAACATAACCACAGACTTTGTGATCTCGCAACACAAACAAGTTTGATTTCAGACACAAAACAAACAATAGGTATACATATTGGCATACACAACAAGCTATACTGATTTAATGAACCAGTAACAACTACTGCAGATGGTTTCGACAAAGTGAAACTGTGTTCAGGCAGAAGGAGCGGATCACACAGATTGTAGCTCTCCAAAACACAATTGTGTCAACTAATTTCATCTTCCACCCTCATGCTGTTGTTTGTGAACAATGAGATGCTTCCCCACCTCCACCCGCGCACTTCTGATTGAATGTGAATGATTAAAACTGTTTCTCATTGACATATCAACAGAAAGGCCGGAATCCTGGCGGCTAACATATGGGATGATAACCTACAATGAAGAGACCCTGGAAACTATCCACACACCTGAGCAAGAGCCCAGAGAGTCAACACACACCGAAATACACACATGCACATCCTGAAAAAATAAATGCCTTGTAATAAATTATGTATTCATTTTTCAAATGTAGGGAAATCTCAAAAGTTGAACACACCAAAACAGTTCCAACAAGCCGATTAAAAAAGTAAAGGCAGTACAGCCGGTGGGTATCGCATCTGTGTCATAGTCGAGAGGGTCTGGGTGTGAAAGGTTTGTATTTTCTCTGAGTGCTTGCTTGGCGGCAGCCCGGTGGTCCAGTGTCGACCTCACAGTGCAGAGGTACCGGGTTCAATTCCAGCTCCAGCCTCCGTGTGTGGAGTTTGCACGTTCTCCCCGTGCGTGTGTGGGTTTTCTCCAAGTACTCCGGTTTCCTCCAGCATTCCAAAAACATGCATGGCAGGCTGATTGAACACCCAAAAATTGTCCCTCGGTGTGAGTGTGAGCGCAAATGGTTGTTTGTTTCTGTGTGCCCTGCGATTGGCTGGCAACCGGTTCAGGGTGTCCCCCGCCGACTGCCCGAAGACGGCTGGGATAGGCTCCAGCACCCCCCGCGACCCTTGTGAGGAAAAAGCAGATCGGAAAATGGATGGATGGATGGATGCTTGCTTGGCTTAGTTACTGTTACTGACGCGTCTGCCCAAATTCCCAAATCATGCTTTTGAAGTTGGTAAATCTGTTGGACAAATATTTAAGTATGACTTATGACACACACTGTGTCGTGCTCACTGCACGCGAGCCAATTCATGAGCTGAATCCGGTATCATGCATAAAGTCATGTTGATAGATCCGATCGTCGAATTCGCCATGAAACAAAAGTTTCCGGGCACATATGTTGCAGCTGCACAAAACACACCTGCAGAGACAATAGCGCTCTAACACACATCATTTGTAATTGACATCTCCATTTAAACCACAATACTGAGGAAAGGACATTGTTTCAAACGAGTCTCCTTGCTGCTCAATTTATTCCCTCGATGAAGCTAACATGTCAACGCAGGATCGAGGACCTTCGAAATAAGCACGTGAGACGCACCAATAGTTTTATCGCGGCCTAATTAATGGCGATGTCTGCTGCATTCGTGTATTTGAACTGTGACAAATAAATACAGTTCCCTGCTCATCCACTCCTGTTGGCTCGTAATAAAAAAAAAAAAAAAAAAATTGTCACCACTGAAGTGAAAGGGAGCAAATGTGACTGCTCAGGGATGGGCAGGCTCTCAAGCAATCTCTCACAGTTGCTGGAATGATTGGAAGTGACAAATGTAGCCTGGACATTACTCGTGTCTTTAGTGAACATGCTGAGGATTTTAGGGGAACATCCTGTCAGTGAGGCAACAATTCTTGCACCAATAAACACACTCATATAGGCAATTTTATTTATTTATTTTTTGTTAATTTGTGCAAAAACAAGAAAACATCCTTCTCACGCAGAAATACTTTGTAAAAGCACAGCACAATGAAATGACATTGTCGCACAAATCGGCCTTTTTTCACTTCACATGGATTGCGATAAAAGCATTGCATGGATATTCGATATTGACAGCTGCATAATTTCTAGTTTAAAGTCTAATTTACTCACCCGATATTGACCTGCACGCATCAATCAGATTCCGACTGGCTTGTTAGCAGAGCTTTGGTATGTGTGATGCCTTAATAGGGTGCACACGTTGCCTCGTGCTACATCATCCGCATTTAAAGCCATCCGTACAGTAATTGAAATTTGACACCCGGTTGAATAAAATGACTGATTAATGGGCAGACTAAAGGGTCTTAGATGTGCCCTAAATAAAAAAGAACCTGTCATGAGCAATAAAACTTGGCGTCCTGTGCTGAAGAAGAAACATAAACTCTTAATATAGCACATTTTCCTGCAGGGCGACCAGCCAAATTAGATCAGTTTAGATGCTGTTAGAAGATATTAGATGAAGTGATGCAGGCGGTTTTAGTGGTTTCATTTGCAATGCAGATATCCCTTTTGTCCTTCCTTTTTTTTTTTTAATAGCCCGTAGTGCAACACTGTATTGACCGCACACAAATGCGGTGTGCGTATAAACAGGGCTTTGTTTGTGTGTTGACTGTTGACTGTTCTTGGCTGTCAGTGTGTCTGGCACACCTACCGGTAGTTGAAAAAGAACAAGAAAGAGGCACAACTAGGTCATTTGTCTACAGCAGTGCCAACACTCAGACGATGAGGGTAACGGTGAGGCTTCCATCTGTCCAGCACTCATGCCACGGAGCGTTTCACCTCCTGCTCCCCTTCCAAAGGTCAGATAAACACAATGAAACAGTAATCATAAACAGCCAGACCAGAACCAGCCGAGATACACATAGTGATGTCTGAAATGACCACTCTTACCAAACCCGTTGAGCTATGACCTTCCAAATGTCAAAGAGAGAAATATTAAACTGGACATGGAACTGTTAAACTGCAAGATGATGGGTTTTTAAGCACAGGCCGTAAGAACTACGACCTGAGTCCCGCGGCCAGAGATGAGTGCATTAAAGCCACGAAGCTGAGGTCTCAGCTGTGACATACAGCATGTATAAATGAGATCTGAAGCCCCGTGTTTTGGTGCTCACATGTCATTTCCGTTACCATTTAACCTCATTAGAGTTAGGGGTGAGCAGGAGTTTGTCCCAGCTGACTTTGGAGAGGCGGGGTGCACTCTCCTCACTTGCCGTACTCTGATTCTGCCAGGGACAGTCGATGTACATACATATATACATACATACATACATATTTATTTATATAGCGCTATGTATGAAAACTAAAGGTCATCCAATGTCTAAAATGTACAAGTAATCGTCCTGAAAATGCATGTATGCATTTCTACTTATGCGCACAACAACCTCTGAAAATGTTATTTTGTAGAATGATCGGCGCAATCACACAGATTTCATACAGAAAAGGGGGCATAAAATGTGAATTTTAGCCTGAAATGTTTCTCATTTGAACCACCCGATTTCCAAAGGTCCAACGTACTCCTTTTCTGATCAAGTGAAAACCAAAACCAACTCTGCATGCGACCATTTGTGTGCGTTTAACTTTGAAGTCCGATATGTGCAGGCATCCATGAGGGGGTGTCATTGTCATCTGAGTCGGGAGTTACTGTGGCAGCAATGTCACGTCCTTGTCTAGTCTGCCATTTTTACTTTCAATGCTATATTGAGAAGTGCCATTACTCATTTCTGACAATGTGTTGGAGTCCTGGTGAGAAATGGATAACATCAAGGCCAACCCCAGCCAGCAGTGACAAGGTTGTGCAGATAACTGTGGAGGAGAATGTGAGATCTGCAACCAAGTGAATGTGAAACTGTCCCGATGAAGCATTTCATTCGCTTAGTTAATCAGTACTGACTCAACGTGATTTTCGAAGTCATCACCGCCGATGACAAATGAACTGAGAATAATGATGACTCCGCCATTTGTCCGCTATAAGTAATCTTAAATGAATAGTAATGGTCATGGGTGGTATAAATTTAATTGAAGTGTTGAGCTTTCAGGTGGCCTATGTGCCCTGTCTATGTCAATGCAGTTTTCATATTGAATTGCATTAGCTATTGGACCATGTCGTGACAACAAAAAGGTATGTTTATGCGCTGAAACAACAAAGACACACCTGCAGAAGTACTGAAAACTCAAGTTCGGTACAAGCGTGTGTTTGCTTGCTTTGGTTTTTGCTTCATCAATAGATGTGTTGCCATGAGAATCAAACGAATGACTCATGGCTGACTGTTCCGTTGGTACACAGTGAAATTTAGTCTTGGTTTGCACTTTTACATGACATTCAGCATTTTGGTTTCTTTACTAACAATAAATCCAACCATGAATAAGAAATAATTTGCATGCTAAAAGAGCCTATTGAATGTAAAGCCTAACCAAACGGTGCAAATAAATCGGAATTAATCTGAAAGAAAAAGACAGACAATAGGATACGCAGTCAACAGAATTACTGAGTGGAATGGTGACAGAAAAAGATTATAATGTGTGCTGTTGTGCTGTGTATGCAAGATGTCCTGTCTTAGTCATATCCAGTCAATATTCAAAGCTGGGTAAGAGAAAAATCTATTTGCCATTGCAGGATGAAAATATGACTGTCAATGGAATGTTAAAATCATTGCGTTTGCAAAATAAAAGCAGGAAACATCACAAAACCTGAATAAATAGGCTTATGGACTTAGATTATTTCACCCCTTATCACATGTTCAGTTGGAATGATGCTTGCCTGTCTGTGCCCCCACAAGGGAAGAACATTTTTCGCGCAACTGCCGTTGTGCGCAGCGGGACAAAAAAACATCCCGAAATAAGGCACACAGTCCATCTGGAGATTATGCATTTGTCAAACTGAAATGGATTCAGACACTATTTTGCAAATGATATCTTTTAATTCAGACTTCTATGAGCAGTGAGACATTTATTTATTTATTTTACAGCCTCCTTTTTTTGCCTCCGGGCTTGTCTGAAAACAAACTAATAGCTCATGGAATTACCATCACCTTTCCTCAGGAAAGCTGCCGGATATTTCCATTCGGCATTTAAGAGAGAATCAAAACAAAATTGTGCTCGAGCTTTTCTAGGCACTTTATTGTGTTTTCAGTGTCAAAACAGAATTTCCGCTAAATAACACCCATGCACCTCAATTTTGACAACCAAGTTGACTGAGTGGTACGGAGGAGATTTAAAGCTGAGCGTCTCAGCCCGAGGTTTTCAGCAGAGCTTTTCTCAAGACAAGACAAGACAAACAACCCGAACTATTGTCAACTGTTGAAATGTGTCATCTGTTAGTTATTGAGGCCGAAAAAGAACACATGTTCGATGGTCCACTTGAGACGGTGCAGAGGCGTGGGGGGTGGGGGGGGCGACAGGAAGCACAGAATGTGCATAAAGAAAGGAACAATAGATGTGCGATTATATGAGACTCAAAGCTAATGGAGTTTGAACATGTTAATTGATGAGGACATAACGTGAGCTTTCAACCGCCCTCCCTCGTGAGAACACTGTGCTAATAGTTGAGGGAGATTTTTGCTTTCTGGAAGGGGCCTGTTAACAATTGTTTTCGTCTCTGCCTCATTCGCAAAACGACATGATTGTTTTTACTCGGCAATTAAACACTAATTAAACAAATTAATTCAAAGCTATGCAAGGATTTGAATCAATGGACGTTTATTGATCTAGACTGCAATAGATATAATTGAGTCAAAACAGAATATACTGTATATGCATATTTGTATGGTGAGTTTTGTGTACATGCAATAAGATTTTAGCCAAGTTCAATGTAAAATCATCAATATCTTCTCAACCCTTTAATGAATACTGTGTGACCATTTAGTAACCTGCAAAATGCAAAATATATCAGTTGTTACTGCTGCAGCTGTAGTGAAAGTGCAATATAAGTAAAGATGTATGGTATTGTATTGTATTGTTTAATAAAGCCATAAGAATATTTGGCCCATAAACAATGCTTTTCAGTTCAAAATAATTGTGTTAGTTCGTTGGACTGACAAACAAACTACAGAGACTACTGAGCACATCGAACATTAAACACTTGGTAAGCAGAAACAGTTCTTATCTGTGATCTTATTCAGGGAGATGTGAAGTGTTCTGATCGTGAACCCTTTGATGTTATGCAATACTCAACTCAACTCAACTTAACTGTATTTAGAGAACACTTTATTCAAACAACCACTGCTGCATACAAAGTGCTACACATGCAGCAAAAATAAGGCACACCAACAAATGAAAAAGCTAAATACATGAATAACAAAGACAGTAAAAAGCACAAAAACAGTAAATCTAAAATAGTAGTAGTAGTAAAGTCTTCTGCTGAGTCAGAAGTCAAAGAATAAAGATTATTTTTAAGATGAGTTTTAAATATTGGCAGTGAGGGGGCTTGCCAAATGTTCAGTGGGAGGTCATTCCAAAGGGAGGCACCAGCAATGGAAAAGGCTTTATCCCATTTATGTCCTTGGTACCTCAAATAGCATCTGCTCCTCAGACCTTAGGCACTGGGCAGGCACTTAAGGGTGTAGCTCAGAGAGGTAAAAGATTTTACAGTTTGAAAACAAATCATAGAATTTTAAAAAGAACTGTAAAATGCACAGGGAGCCACTAAAGGGATGCCAGAGTAGCCGTTAGTACCAGTCAAGAGGCAAGCGGCATCATTCTGGACCAACTGGAGCCGCTTGATGGAGGATTGGCTGACTCCAAAATAAAGTGTGTTACAGTAATCCAGCATTTATTACTCTTTCAAAGTGTTGAGAAAGGAGAGGCTTCACTATATCCAACTGCCTCAGATTAAGAATAACAACAACACCAATTTGCCGGTCCAATTAAAATCACTGTCCAGTTTAAGACCTAAGTTCGAGACTGTTGACTCCAGAGAGGGAGTGAGGGGGCCCAAGTCAGGAGGATGGGATGTACAAGAGCCGCTAGGACCAAACACCATCATTTCTGGGGCATAACACTTGTGTTGCAATGGAATCAATATAGGAAGTTGTGTCGTTTCTAGAAAAAAAATTCTCGGTTTAAAAAAAAAAAAAAAAAAAATAGAAAACTTCCAACATATTTGAACCGTTATTCGCACTTTCACATTAAATGCATCTGTCATTATCAACAGATTTCCTTGCAATAAAATCTGTGCATAACAAGTCAATGTCAAGACAACACCTCAAATAACATTGGAAAGCAACATAGAGGTGCAGATTGCCAACGCCATATGGTAAAAATTCAATAAAAGTCTGTAACTGTAACACAGCCGGGACCACGGTGAGAGGTGAAAAGCAAAAAGACTGGGATTAGATAAAGGCAGAGCTGGAGAAATGAGGCCAGTGGGGCACTGAGTGCTCCACCAACGGTAGATGATCTCTGGGAGCTGAAGGGAACACAAAATGTGTCTTGAGTGCCTGGGAACATTTTCCCCATCAGCTCACTGAGGTCTGACTGACCAAAACAAAAATGTGGGGATTGGATGATATGGAACACTGGTGCTGATTTTGTATTTATTGGCTCCAAAATTTACTTTCTCTACGCAGACGATGAAGATCATTGTACACTACTGATAGGTTCTTTGCAATCAACAACATTTATATGGATATTTGTCTGTGGGAACCAGACCACTCCTGCTGTGAAAAACGGTGTTGTGTTGGAGCGCGTCATTTCTCTTACATACATAAACACTCTTACATATTTAAGGAAATTGCTGTTTGTTTAATTTTTCATGACACACAAAGGATATTACACTGTTGACATACTGTGCTCTAATGACAAGAAATTGTAACTGGAACAATGGTGGTGGTCTGTGAACGTCTTCTGCAATTCCCACTCTTCTAGAAATGCTTTCACCATTTTAATGGTGCGTAATGAAAGTAGATAATCTCGTCTTTCTTTTGGTAGGTTTCGTGTACATATTACTGCACAACACAATATTCTGTGGGCCTTGAAAGATCAATGTTTTCATTTCATTCCTTAAAACGGCTGGCATTGTGGAGGTGGCTGCTGGGGAAAAGTCTGGCAGTGAAAGTGTTTTACACATAATCTCACACACACACACACACACACACACACACACACACACACACACACACACACACACACACACACACACACAAAGATTTGGTTACACATGGTCTTGACTCACCTCGAGAGCATGTCCTGATTCAAATGGTAGTCCAGTTATGGCCACCTGTGCCATGTCATCTGCATGAGCACTAAGCCCTTGGATGAACATGACCGGCCCGCTGTATGTCACGTCTTGCATGGGTACCAAATTGAGGTCCTCATCAACATGGAAGTTGGCGACAGATACCTCAAAGGCCACATCTTCATTCCCAGCACAATCGTCAAATTCAACTGCAAATAAACATACAGGGAGAATGTCAGACGATGACGTAAATAGGAAAATCTTTTTATGACTTATTTCCCTGTAAAAAGAACAAGGTGATGGTTTGCCAAATGTTCCACACATACTGTATTTGGCAGAAAAACAGTGACCCTGAAGGCAAAAAATACACAGCAAAAAATACAACATGCTCCAAAAGTGTTGGCTCCAATAAAAGTGCTAGGAAAGATCAAATTCACATGCGGCCCAAGTAATACTTTTTTGACCTGCTGCTTGTTTACATTGTTTACATTTCAAACTGGCTGTTTACGTAAAATTACTGAATCCTGGGCTGTGGGTATACAGTAAAGACTCTGGGTATGTCAAAAACATTGGTTCGTTTTAAAGATTAAACACAGGCTCAAATGGTAAAAGATATGCAATGTGAAATGTGAATTCGTTATTCATTGCTGTCAAGCATTTTGGCTGTGTGTGCATGCAGTTTGTTTCAAGTGTGCACTAAAAGTTAATTATGATAAACAGTTGCAAGAAAAACTCAGCCAACACTTCAGATTTTGGAAAATTACTTTAGCAGGAGCCAATTGGAGTCAAGAAGTCACCCAATCTAGAGTGTTATGACCTTAAAAGAGCAATTTACACCAAAGCTTCCAAGAATATGGCTAAATAGAAATGGCTTTGGAAAAAGGAATGGTCCAAAATGTCTCTACATCGTCATTACGGGTCTGATCTACAACTACAGAAGATGTTGGGTTGATGTTGTTGCTGAAAAAGGAGGCATAAACCAGTTTTTAAAGCCAAAGGTTCTCATACTTTTTCCCACTCTGCACACATTGAAGTATTTGTTGAATTTACTCCATTTCATTTAGTCAAGTAGTTGCTCGAAATAAAATCATCTGAATCCAGGTAAATTTTACAAGTAGACTATACATCAACAAAAGACATCTGGATCTATATATATATATATATATATACACAGAGAGAGAGAGAGAGAGAGAGAGAGATATTCAGTTATTTTTGTGCAGCCACTTGATGAAATAAAATTGAGTAGATTCAACATACCGTTTTTAAGTGCATGTTGTGTTTAGTACAAACATGGAAACGATCACATTACATTTTATGACCAGTTTATATGGGAAGGAATGACAAAGCTTTTCTTTCAAATGAATATCACGTGAATAAAACACGTTGAACAGACAAAAAATACATAATATATAAGCATTTAATTGGAATTAAACACAAATCATGAGAGATGCTAATGCCACAGACGATGACCAGTCAACATCCAGCTTTTGAGTCATATTACTCTCTTTGGTGGAATTCCAAATTGCACAACTTGAGGGTGATCGATGGGAGGTTACACTGCATTAGAAAGAGTTGCTTAGAATTAGTCTTCTTTTTCACATGGAACATGTCTCACCTGACCGAGGCGAGATGCTGCCAGGAATGCTCCCTTTTTTTTTTTCTTTCAAATAGTCACTCCTACATACGAACCTCACTGTTACAACACGCTTCCCTTGTCCTCCCCCACTGTGGATCCCGGAGTGCGGAGTGCGGGATCCCACAGGAAGTGAGCAAGTGTTGATGTGTACACGTGTTGTTGATTAGGGAGGCAGGTGCAACAAGGAGTCACATTGTGTTGTGAAACTCTGCGTGGGTCTCATATTGCACAACAAAAGAATCCGCCTCAGAACATATGCTGTTTTGTATAACTTCTTTCTTAGAATGAGTTTGATGCCCGCTTGACATGAATCATTTCTGATACCATACTTACTCCATTTGCTTATTTACACTCAAGCCAAAGCATTTTTACATGTAATAAGATAAAATATATGCATCATAATTTTCAAAACAGTGCGAAATAGACCCTCTTTGTTATGTTCCTCCGGGACCGCAGAGACATGCCACATTTGCCAAGACTACAGGACTTCATCAATTATGGATATTTGCTTTTATCTAACAAAGCACAAAACACTCGAAAGCAAAAAAAAAACATTTGTACAGGTGTGGACGGGCTTCAGCACAGCCCGGTTCACATAATTGGGTTTCTTCAAATGAAGGTAATTGATATAGATTTCAGATCATCTCTTTCTGACCTCCACTCTCTGAAGATGAAACAACTGTGGTCAACAGCGAGAAGTCAACCCTTTGTGCATTAACAGACATCAAATGCCACGCATTTGCATTGATGGCAGGATTTGTTGCTCGCCACCATCCAAAGGTAGCTACATCCACCCATACATCCATTTTCTGATCCACTTTATTCTCACAAGGGTCGCGGGGGGTGCTGGAGCCTATCCCAGCTGTTTTCGGGCAGTAGGCGGGGGACACCCTGAACTGGTGGCCACCCAATCGCAAGGCACACAGAGACGAACAACCGTCTGCGCTTACACTCAGACATAGGGACAATTTTAGAGGGTTTCAACAAGCCGGCCATGCATGTTTTTGGAATGTGGCAGGAAACTGGAGTACCTGGAGAAAACCCACGGAGGCACGGGGAGAACATGCAAACTCCACACAGGAAGGCTGGAGCCGGGATTGAACCCACGTCCTCCGCACTGTGAGGTCGATGCGCTAACCACTGGACGACCGAGCCGCCCAGGTAGTACATGGGCCCAATATTCACAGACAGCATCAGTGCAGTCATGCATAAAATCTTTCTCACTGTCTCTTATCTAAGTTTTGGAACAGATGGTGTAACGCAACTCGTGTGAAATTGATCGACGTGCGGGCAGACGGATTCTGAGCTCTCATCATATCATTGTATTTCAATCCTAAATTATAAAACTGTGTGTGTCATCCACTCTTAATTGTTGTAGACATCAATTCAGTAAACGTATTGTTGTTGAACTGTTGTTGAATGGAAGTGCATAGAATTACAAGACCGTAAAGTTTGTTTGAATTAAAAAAAAAAAAAAAAAGACGATACTTTATTCATCACTGTTGAAAGCACTACCCCTGTTTCGAGCTCTCACCATAAGAGCTCCACCATTGTCTTCCCACCCTCCCACTATGTTTTGTGAAAACAATGACTTTGACCACCTCAATCCATTCCTATTCTGCCCTTATTATAACAGCGTGCACAGTACGGTGATGGTTAATGCTGCTAGACTATAAAATTAATAGTCTGAACTCTATTAGAGCACTCATTTAGCACACTTAACCTTTGTGAATGTTTTGTCGGCTGCCGTTTATCTCTCTAGCTGCACACACTTTAAAGTCATCCCTCGGGACAGCTTTTTTTTTTTCTTCGCCATCTAGACGGACAGTTTAAGAGATATAATAACACACAAGTGAGCAGAAAGAAACTGAAGGCATAAGAACATGACAGGGCACTGAGCAATAGCTTCATACGCTCTCATAGCCAAGGCTTAATCTCAATGTTCAACTGTTACTTCTGAGCACATGAGAGATGTATTCATTTCCATCCAATTTCCAAGCCTCAGATTTATTTCAATAACACACTCTTTCGAGTCTACAAATTGCAATGCCAAACAGTGTCAGTGTCATTTCAAAGGAAGCCAAAGTGTGTTTGATGGTATTCTAATGCTGTCAGGTTTTGGAGGGTGGGGGTGATTTCGAAAGGGAGCATGGTGAGCCGGTGGCTTTGAAGTCAGACAACAATGACAGAACACAATTTAGCCCACTTACCACCAACACGTCCGGTTTCTTTTCATAGTGCTTGCCCACGCAACTGAGAAAAACGTGGATTAGGGTCACCAAAATCCTCACACTGAAGACAAGTACCGAATGTGGTGTGTGACGATTTGCAAGTTGGAGATTAGTTCACTTCAGGCCAAAATCTCCCTTGAGGACTGAGCATCAAAGACTTATCGTCCATGGAAATGCGAGAATAGTTGCTCAACTAGCCACAAACTGCACCGCCATTGGTGCCGTGCCTTCATGCTGATGCCTCAGTATTCGTGCATTAACACTTCTAGAGTAACATTTGGTTTGACCTGTGTGTACACGTCGCATCGAGAGTGTAGGGCATCAAAAGTGTTGATTGGATTTCACCCTCAGGGACAAAAAAAAGTCACATGCTTGGAAAAGATCAAACACCCGAAGAACACCGACATTACATTATGACAAGATGTACATGACACATGCGCACCTCAATACCCTCATTCTCATTAATGATGAAAGAGGCACTGCTTGATCTGCAAGATTATTAAAGCATAGCTCCACATATACGTTCATTTGCTTTTGCAGAGTTAGATTTTTTTGAGGGGTAGATTTCTTTTGGGTTCTACGTTCAGTCGATATGATGGGATTGAATGAGAAGCAACAGCGGGTGTCTTTCAGTTTATGCCAAGACCACGACATGTCATCGGCTTTATTTTCAGACCAAGGCTTCTCCCAGAATTTCCGGGTCCCAGTCTCACCTCTCAAACTACCACTAACAATCTACAATTTGTGTTCACAACAGACTATTTTCATAAAACGTTAATTGAAGATTTTTTTTTTTTTTTTTTTTGTGAGTCGATCAGTATGTACCCAGCTTCAGTGCCGTTATTTCCACAATTTGAACTTTTTTGGAGGAATGCTGCTGCCCGTCGTGCTTCTTCCAATGATTGCAATTATATTGTGTAAGAACCTGAGTTTCAGCACACTTATTTTAGGGGCATGTTGGACATGTTTTATACTGTAAAAGTCATCTTCGTGTCAACTCACTTTAAATCATACGGAAAGCCTACGGGCTCTTTCAGAAAGAATGTTACAAAATGTCACTCTGATAATGTTTATTGTGCGTGAATTGTTTTTAAAGCTATATTTAAAAAAAAAAAAAAAAAAAGGTCAGAAGCATTAGAAGTAGCTCTGTGAAGCACTGCCTTGTAGTTGAGGTACAGAGATTGTTGAATCAACAGCTTAAAAATGTGTTAAAGCTGATTATGATAATCTGGCATTTACGAAGTGGATCAGTCACCAACAGCTTAGTGGCTGACAAGTAACTCGACAAATAGTGCACAACCAATGCCAGTCCGACCCTTCAGATAGCTAATTCCAATCACACATTGCTATCGCTCACCATGAACAAAGAGACGCTGTGTTTGCTGTGCTAAATACAAAGCACATAGATGTAGAGCTAATGGATTTTTTGCGCTCTGATCGGTGAGCCTCAATATCCAGGAAGGCGTCTTTTCTACTGATTTGCTTTGCTGTGTCATGATTTCATGAAACTAATTCAACGTAGAAGGGAAAACAAGAGTGGTTTGCAACAGAAACCAAGACATTGTAGCGATATGGCAACCAGTACAGTTTAATTTTATACAAGGATCTCTGCAGCTTCTAGTAGTAGCTCACATGAAAACCAGAGGCAACATCTTGCTATTTTTTTTCCCTCATCCCACTTGTGAGAAACTGGGCCTGTTCTTTTAACTTGTAACGCAAAGAAGTGATTTGTATGAGGAGTTGTATCTTAAATATAGCCAATATCGATGCCAGTGTATTGAGACGTTCATCACGTCGGCCTCTCCAGTGGAGGTACACATTCCAACATAATAGATGCAGGTACAACCTGTGTCATCAGCTTCATGAATAGCAAGACAATCAAATCGAAAAATGACATTAAATAAACATGTTTTTTTTTTGGGGGGGGATGAAACAAGAAAACACAAAAAGAGTACAATCCTAATCCCGTGGCGGCACGAAGGGAAGTCAAAATATTGCCAAAGAATTAAACTGGGCCAAAATAACAATGGACAATAAAATCCAGTTCATGTCGAAGAAAGAAATATAATACCTCAGCTCCATCTTGGCCCGCCCGCTTGACTGCATGATTTAATGAATATGCGGTGCCTCTCGACTCACAGCTGCACCACAATAGCGAGGCGGCAGATATCAGCAACTCCAGATGCCGTGGCCACATTGCTGGAATCAAGCCAAGCTAAATTGCTGTGACTAATTTCCAAACAGTTTACACTTGCAATCATGTGTGTGTTCTCTATGCTAAATTAAATTAGTGCAGTGTCCATCTCTCTGAAATAAGCATTAGTCTAATCTCCTGTACTGTATCTCTAGTTTCATACCTCGACTTGAGCTAATGTGTGACCACAGTGCATTGCAGAACAAGTTAAACAAGAGGGACAAGCCCCGACTTTAAATATTTTAACAAGCTTCAGCGTCGTTTATCTGCCGTCATTTTTGTGTGCATTTTCTTGACATGCTTGCAGGACCTTTGTTTAATAGCACCCGTGTTTACCAGGATGCAAAACAGAAACCTTTTCTCTCTGCTATAAACTGTCACAAACACCAACAAAAGGCAAGACACAGTGAATAAGACCCTCATTATCACAGTCAGTGCTTTGTCTGGCAATAGAGATTGCCCTTCTGGTGTTTTGATTGGGAATGCATGTATTCACCTCATGCATAAAGATTTGCTTGAAAGAATTCACGAAAATCTCATGAATATGTATGAGAGCCTATAACAGCCTACCTTTAAAACACTACTATGAAGGCTGTAATGCTCGCACATCTCATGACTCCGATAACCCCGTTTTCGACTAATAATAATTTCAATGAACTTGTACGAACACAGCAATGTGCCAAGATACTATGGACGCTCTGAGAACAAAGGAGGAAAGGTGATCTACAAGAACATGTCGTAAAAAAACAGTAGTTTAAGTATATTTTCATGAATAATTGTCATTTTATTTAACGTTCTAATTATAATCTTCCAAGGGGGAATTTGACGTATCGTTTCATACAGTGTATTTCCTGGAGTCAGTTATACTGTAAATGATGAATTGCCTCAAGCACAAAGGTGTGGTGATTGCAATTTTTTCATGATGTAAAACGGAAACAACCCAATTGCGTGAAACTTTACAAAGTGTTCGCACCCATTAAACGTGGGTGAAAATTAAGATTTTTCAAAAAAGTTCCTTTGCACCCAGGAATAAAAACGGGCCACCCATGTTTCCCCACTTTGAATACGCGTGACTTATTTAGGGTTGATGTTGAGCTTTAAAGATGAAGACTGGTGCACAATTTACCCTGATGGGAAAGGCCACCACAATTGGGAACTCAACTGTGTTTACTATTTCATCATGAGAAAATGTACTTGGTGACAGTGCAGATGGCCTGATACCAAAGTAATACCATCTGTCATCTGGACAAAACAACTCTCAAGAAAGAGAAAGGTAATTCTTCTTCTTTACTTTAATGTTTCCACCATCAGGCATGGACGAACCTGTTTTTTTTTTGTTTTTTTTTTTTTTTTAATTGGCTTTTCCACTTTATTTGGGCAGCACGAGCTGTGGACTACAAACTATTATTACCTACCTCAGTTTATTCAATGCAAAGACCATTTTTTTGGACACTAAAACGATCATTTGCTTCCTTCCAATTGTTTAAAAACTGAACGCTCTACCAAGTCTGGCTTGTGAGATTATAGAAAGGCACTGACAAGGCACAGCTGGATGGGTTCTGTGAAGAACATGAGGAGGAAGACATAAGAAGGAAGTCTCGGGGTGAGTGCAAAAACACATCTTACCACCTCAAAAAGATCCATCCATCCTGTTAAGGGTAGCAAATGATTACCAATCAATCACATGAAGACATCCATCCGAACTCACAGTAATCCGTGCGGTATGGCTAAGTTGGAGTCTACAGTTAACCTAACAATCATGATTTTTGGAACGTGAAAGGAAAGTGGAATACCCAGAGGGAAACCACGCAAGAATGGGAAGACTAAAACTCCATCATGCTCCTTCCAAATTCTATGTGGAACTTATAGGAATTTGGAACCCAGAACTTTTGACTTGACATTATCTATCTTGCATTGATGGAGCCTAGTTTTTGAGCGACAAAAGGACATTGCCACTCAGTTTCTCCTCACTTCCATCTCTATATATCTGTGTTTGAAGTTTTGTATTTGTTCACGTTCTTGATGAATAGGGACTGCTGAAAGGCTTCCTTTCTGAAATATGTAATCACAAGTGGCGAGTGTTTTTATACAGTATGCCTTTGGTATACTGAGCAAGCTCGAAATTTAATGTCAAGAGCCTAAAATATACCTCTGACCAAATCTCTCTTCCAGAAAGCCCAAACATCCACGAGGATTCGGCACTGTCATGCTGTGAAGTGCTGGCAGGCGTCTGTGTGGAACTTCAGAGTCGTTTATACATTTCTCATTCTGCTTTTCAATTCTGCAGCTCTGCTCCCACTTGAGGGAATTATCACTTTTGAAAGCAGTCTGCCATTACACACATCATCGCAAAGTAACTAAACCAGTCAATAAGACACACCAACCCTATGTGACAAAAAAAAAAAAAATGCATGAATTAGCTGGTCACAAAGCACAATATGGACTGATTATACATTAAGTACTGTCTTTTGTCCAGGTAATGAGATTTCATGTTATTATGCGCCTTTTAGGGCTCGTCAAGAAAGACTGATGTGTAGCAATTGATGGCATGAAGAGTACTGGAGGGCCACTCAGCTGATGTAGCAAATGTCTGCAAACGAGACGTGCTTTGGCCCTTCAGTTGCTCATTTTTGTAAATGTGTATGAACACAATGTACTATTTTTTTCACGAGTTGGCCAGAAATCCACCAAAAGCAGAATGGGTATGGGGACACAGGAGAGAAAATTCACTTCATAAAAGATTTTTCCTGTGCTGATTTACATCTGGAACCTAAATCTGTACAGTCAAAGCAGCACAAACCCTGTTTCTTAATTGATGGACTCACGGGAGATGAGTGGGCATTTTCAACCCCATTTACCCATGGCTAACAAAGATGGAAACATTTTGAACAGCTGATTTGTACAACAGCACAGTTTTAGAGACAAAAATGAAAACAGCAGGCATGTTGAGTGTTTTGAACGCGACATTACCAATTAGTGGCCTAATATATCCCTCCATCCATTTTCGGATGCACTCTATCCTCACAAGGGTTGCGGGGCGTGCTGGAGCCTATCCCAGCTGTCATCGGGCAGTAGGCGGGGGACACCGTGAACCGGTTGCTAGCCAATCGCAGGGCACACAGAGACGAAAAATGATCCGCGCTCACACCTAGGGACAATTTGGAATGTTCAATCAGCCTGCCATGCATGTTTTTGGAATGTGGGAGGAAACCGGAGTACCCGGAGAAAACCCACGGAGGCCCGGGGAGAACATGCAAACTCCACACAGGGGGGCCAGAACCGGGATCGAACCCACGACCTCTGCACTGTGAGGTCAACGCGCTAGCCACTGGACCACCGGGCGCCCATATATTGTTTATCAAGAAGAATTGCATTCAAAAGTATTTTGGTTTCAATGGTATTGTTATTTATTTTAATCAACATGACCGTAAATTATTTATGATGAGCAGTATATTATTATTGTTGTTGATGTTGTTGCCCGTGGCACCTTTCTGTCCAAAGCTCCATGCCAGCTAATGCACGCAGGCATACTTGCCAATTGGCTGTTAAAATCAGCACCAAATGAGTATTTACGGATTGGACTCACATCACACATGCACACATCGTGTGACACACAACTGCATTTGAGAAAAAAAAAAAGAAACAGAAGCATTTGCCTGTGTATGACAATATTTAGCCAACTATCCAGCATTAAATTGACCTATTTGCACGCAGAAGAGGAGCAGAAAATCCAACGGTTTGCCGAGTGCTATCTGGCAACCCAGTACGACAACGATCGGGCGTTTCACTTGATAGGAATCGATGAGTGGAAGGGAAGGCCGAGTCAATGACTTGATGTCACATTCATTTCTAACAAGGCGCCTTGCATTAAAATGAACCATGGGGATTGTGGGCACGCTGTTTAAGCAAATACAAGATGAGAAAAATATGGGAACACCAGATGTTTATCCAATATTTCAGTATTGCTACGTTTCCCATCAATTCCTCAAAATGGGCGGGGAGGTGTACCCTTTAACCGGCATCAAAATAGTGCTAGATATTCAACATCTTTTACTCGTTGCAAAGGAAACCCAATTGCGTGCCGGAAATGAGGCTTGAGACTTGAATGCATTTATACGGTGTTTGAATGTCAAACTTAAGCATATGTTGTGCCGAGCCTGGGAGGGTACAACATTGCATGTTTGCAAATCATAGCAACAGATGCTCCATTAAGATTTGACATGTCCATAAAGGACTAAGATCAGGCACTTCACATTTCAACTTAATGGGTCACCAATGAAACTAAGCTTGGAGCTTAGTGTTAATGCAGACCAGAGCAGAGAAAGGAATATATGTACAGTAATTGCGTTTACATTTAACAGCCAAGCAGAAAATAGCTGGAATTGCCGCTAAGTGCAGTGACACCAAAACGTGTCAATCAAATACTTTTGCAGACACAGTCATACGCAGAAAACATACTGTAATTTAGCAAACAAAGTGATATCAGGAACCAAGAAATGCATTTGTGGTTCACAGATCGATAAGCTCTCAGGAAAAGCAACGTCCTCCAAGTTGACGCCGCCGAGGTTACTCTGCACTTTTTTGCCCAAGAAGCAAGAAAAAACACCGGCATAAGAGAAAACTTTTCAAACAATTTATTTCTGTCTTATTTTAATTGTATTTCTCGTCTCTCCAGTTCTAGTATGTAATTCATGCAGAGCTGTCTTACTTTTTATTTATGCTTCTGTTATGCAAATGAAATGTCACATACATTTAAGACCCACAAATTACTGAAACTGAATGACAAAGGAAATGAGAAGCAGATTCTTTACAAAAGTTTGATTTCGGACTTTTTTGGGGTGTGTTTTTTTTTGGGGTTTTTTTGTTTTTAATAGTGTCAGCAGAGGGGTGATTTATGACTGACTCCAAGGTTGGT